CAGTGAAAAGGAGAAAGGACTGCACTACTCGTCGATGCCTTTTCGTAATCTCCGCCTACGCCCCCACTGACTGCAGTTCGGATGAAACGAAGGATGAGTTCTACCAAAAGCTGTCTAGTTTGCTGCGAAAGGCTAAACGCTCAGATATAGTCGTTTTAGCTGGTGACTTTAATGCTCAAGTGGGGAAATTGTGTCAATCTGAGAAGAATGTCGGTGGCACATACGGAATCCCGTGCCAGCGAACCGACAACGGTGACCGTCTCCTACAGTTCTGTTCAGATAATCACTTGTTTCTTGTAAGCACTAACTTCAAACACAAGGAGAGACACTGTTTGACCTGGCGACCTCCATCATCAAACCAACGCTGGACACAAATAGACCACATAGCAATAAGCCATCGTTGGCGTGGGTCGGTAGGAGATTGTCGCTCCTTCTGGAACACGTGTGTAGATACCGATCACGCACTGGTCCGCACTCGTGTGTGCTTACGACTGAACGGACGTAGGAAACAGCTGGCGGTAAACCCATCACGTCCCCAACTCGATCTGGAAACTAAGTCCCTATTTGAGGAAGAACTAGCTAAACACATATCTGAGTTCGACAGCTGCGCTCACCCTGAAGAAGCCTGGAAGAATATTCAGTCAGCCATAGATACAGCTGTAAAAGCTTTGAATAAGGTAAATCCAAAGGTGAGTAAAAACCATTGGATTTCGACTGCCTCATCCGAACTGATAGATGCTAGAAGACGTATTCCGGCGAGCTCCGAATTCAATGAGGAGCGAAAGCTGCACAAAAGGAAACTTACGAAAAGTCTCCGCAAGGACCGTGAACAGTGGTGGTTGACAAAGGCGAAAGAGATGGAAAAAGCATCGGCGATAGGCAACACTAGGCAACTCTTTAGACTCATCAGGGAAACGGGTGGGAGAAGGCAAATCATAAGTGAGACTATTTGTGAGAAAAATGGCTCCTTAATTAGTTCTCAGGATAGACGCCTCGAACGCTGGAAAGAACACTTCGAGGAACAGTTTAACTTGCCTACAGCCACACTGAACCTCCCCGCCATCCAGCACACACCCGAATGGGACATAGACACTGGCCCGCCGTCTGTAAGTGAGGTCACCAGAGCTATCTGTAATTTGAAACGAGGGAAAGCGGCAGGACCCGACGGAATGATTCCGGAGGTGTTTAAATATGGGGGTGACATGCTAGTATATAGTTTAACTAAGGTACTAGGTAACGTCTGGGAATCAGAGACGGTTCCATCAGACTGGGGTAAGTCACTTATCATACCAGTATTCAAGAAGAGAGATAAGTCCTCATGTGATAATCATAGAGGAATCAGCTTGACGAACATAGTCTCTAAAATCCTAGGCTCAGTAATCATGCACAGACTAAGCCGAACTCGGGAGGAACAAACGAGGGAAAATCAAGCGGGCTTTAGGCCAGGTAGAGGGTGCATAGATCATATCTTCACTCTCCGACAGATCCTAGAACATAGACACACTTTTAGGCGTCCAACAATTGCCATATTTCTTGACTTGAAGGCGGCCTTCGACTCCGTGGATCGAGAGGTACTATGGCAATGTTTGACTATGAAGGGAGTGCCAAGAAAGTACATTGCACTAATCAAGGCACTCTACTCAAACTCACGTAGCTGTGTAAGGGCTTATGGGGAATTGTCATCTGAATTGATAACAACCAGTGGTGTCCGTCAAGGATGTCCACTTTCCCCATTTCTGTTTAACTTCATCATAGATATGCTAATGGAAGTATCCTTAACTGAACTTAACGACTTAGGAATCGACTTGTTACCAGGGAATAATCTTATGGACTTAGAATATGCAGACGACATAGTCCTGTTAGGGGAGGATGCTGACAAAATGCAGAGTCTTCTGAACACCTTGAGCAGCAATCTTCGTATGTTTGGCATGCGATTCGCCCCTGTAAAATGTAAGATGCTGCTACAGGAATGACTGGACTACGTCAACTCCTAGCTTAGTGATAGGGAGTGAAGTGATAGAACATGTTGACCACTTCACCTATTTGGGAAGTTGTATCAGCACCAACGGATTGATTGGTGACGAAATCTCAGCACGGATCCAAAAAGCTCGAGCTGCTTTCGCTAACTTACACCGTCTCTGGCGTAGGCGTGACATCCGGCTATCAACCAAGGGACGTGTGTACTGCTCAGCAGTTCGCTCCGTCCTTCTCTATGGTGGTGAGACGTGGCCATTGAGAGCGGAAGACATGAAAAGGTTGACTGTTTTTGACCACAGATGTTTACGATCTCTTTCTCGCGTTAGGTGGTATAATAAGGTAAGTAATGTTGACGTTAGGCGTAGAGTGTTGGGCAAAGAGGGAAAATCACTCGAAGAGGCTATAAAGTTACATAGATTGAGATGGTTAGGTCACGTGCTGCGCATGCCTAACCATCGCCTCCCCCGACGGGCATTACTAGCTGATATAGGTGCAGGTTGGAAAAGAGTAAGTGGTGGCCAAACAAAAACATGGCCTCATCAATCCATGAAATCCTTGACAGTTAAACTGAGTCAGGTAGGGAGATGCAGACTTCCGGGTTGGGGCCCGCCCTCGGGACTCTAAGAAATCAATGGCTGGAGACAATAGGTGACATGGCTCAAAATCGTTGTCAATGGCTTACGCAGATGTATTCAGTCTCTGTAATCTTTCATATTCCTTTCTACCATTACTCATTCTGTTTCACTCTTATACTTGTCAAAACTCTATTGATTCTCTTCACTCATTTTCTTGTCTACCTTTGTGTGCTATTTGGAACGTGGCAACTCGAAGTGCTGCACTTCGGTGCCAAGTTCTATGTTGAATCCAGCCAGCCAGCAACAAGGCAGTAGGAGTGGAGTAGGGAGTCCACTATCCATTGGCAGCCAGTGACCGGAGTTCGGTTCATACGCCTTTTTGAATGGGGCCAGACATTCAGGACATCCAACAAGCCCTTTGTCCATACGTCTGCCGGTGAGCTCCAGTGAGCTTCATACGCCAGTCGTTGGAGGTTTGGAATCAGGGTTGCTGTGACATCTCCCCCGCATCCGTGCCGCCTTTAGTTGAAGTGATGTTAACTAGAAGCAAGTGAAATATGTGACTTTCTTTAGATTTCTCCCGTAGATGATGATGATTTAGAGACTGGGCTCGCGCGTTATGAAAAGCATTTCTTTTTTCAACAAGCCACTGCAGACTTTTATCAATAGCTACCGCCTTCCTGTTGCCTTGATACTGAATATAAGATGGTCAGAGAGGATTAGCAACAAGGAAATCCGCCAGGCAACGAACCACCCAGGAACGTGTATTATTATGTTATTATTATTATTCCCTTGGGTTCCGAGTGGAACATACGGCTTCAACAACACATCTACACTTTCTTCTATTCTCCGCTATCCTCTTCATATGGGTCCACGATTCTTCATTATCTCTTATCTCATCGTTGACACACCATCTCCTCTATGTCACCCTCACACCGACGATCCTATCGTCACTTCCCATTTGCGTTTCACTCGAGTGGTGGTCTGCATTGAGCGTGATGTCATTCGCCGGCCTCCTCAACATATACCCGATCAATCCATCTCCATTTTCTCCTACATATTTGTTGTGCAATCCGCCCCTGGTTGGCTTGTTTTCTTGTTACTTATTCTTTCTGGCCGACCATTTGATCTTCAGTATGGAGCCAGCCGGCGAAGGTGGCAGCTGATTATAAAAATCTTCAGTAACTTGTTGGAAATCCTTCTCGTGACTGACGCGCAGTGCAAGTTTCTGACCCGTATAGAAGAACTTTATGACTGAGTGACTTCACATTTGTGTTGAACAGAATCCGAATCTTGTTGCCTGTACTGGTTGAGTGCAGAGAATTTCCAAACAGGTTCCAGGTTGATGAAGGCGTATATATCTTGCCTTTCCAATTCTGACCGGCTGGCTGTGACATCTTCATGTTTTCTGACTGTCTGTGGTTGAAATTGTGCTTCCTAGAGGGATAAAGTGAAGGAAGTAAGCTCTGTCAAATCTCTCCCGTTGGTGGTGATTGGTACTGGTTGTTGTTCTTCACCACCTTCTTCAATATGTTCACCTGTAGTCCTGTCTTCGCTGCCTCTTCAGTCAGTTTATTACTTTTCGCCTGTAAGTCTTCTAGTTTATGTGACATTAGACATATATCGTCTGCGAAATCCAGATCTTCTAGAGTCTTATCCGTAGTCCAGCGTATCCCTCTCTCCTCACTCCCCAAGCACACTCTGACGCATAATCCAGTCCACCATAATTAAAAATATACCATCGGTGATAATAGGTAGCCTTGTCTTATTCCTGTTTGCACTCCGAACGCCTCGTTGAGCTTTCCGTCGTGGACTGCCTGACAGGCTGTATTGTCATTTATATGTTGAATGAGGTTGGTAAAGACTTGGGCCACTGAACGCCGTAGTTTCCAAATTACTTCTTGGTCGACGCTGTCTGTTGAAGGTCTTTTCTAAGTCGATGAATTTGAGGTAGAGAGAGGTTTAACTGGCATCCTATGCTTTCTTCTGTGACAACGATGCGTAGAGTTGCAATTTGATCAGCACATGATTTGCCTTTCCTGAATCCACCCAGCTTGTTCCGGTGAGTGGCGGAGTTCTGTATCCAGTACATCCTTTATTCTCTCCAGGAACGTATCAACCAACAAATATGCAGAAGAAAATAGCGACAGACTGGACACACGTTGAGCAGAGTGATGTCACGCGCCAGGGAAGCCAGCCCACAAGTGAAACCTGAATGCGAAGCAACTAGTTGGGCATCGCTTCGAGTGTGACATTGAGCAGAGTGTGTGTGAGGATGAAATGAAAGGTTGTGCGCAGTCCTAGAGCATCCAAAGAAGAGGATGAATTGGAGCCTTATCTTCTACTTGTAACTCAAAGAAATAATAATAACAATTATTATTTTATAATATTGGCCATATTTAAACAAGAGTTATTTATTGCCTTCTTTCTGTCATCCTTATTATTTAGATACAACTCCGCCTAAACAATTCCTCTCGGATAAGAATAACACACTTATTGAAGTAAGATCATTGTTATAATATCTAACATTTAACACATTTTATTTTTGAAGTATTGGTTTTGTAGGGATTTTGTTTGATCTTTTGGAGGATTTCACCATGAGCTGATATCAGATAGGAAACAATTGGAAAACCACTCAAGGAGTACTGGACAGTCAGCTGTTTCGTCAGCGTAGTTTGGAACTCTTCATCAGTACGCACCTACCACCAGGCTTCGAACCCAGGACCTTCTGGTTATAAGACCAGCGAGCTCGTAGACCATTAAACCACTGGGACCCAACCGATCCAATGGCCAGCCCATGAATTCTAACTCCTGCCAATTCATGACATAGCGAGACCACTTCGCAATGTCTTCTTCTTCGATGGTTACTGCCTCACCTTCAACCTGATGTACCCTACTGGTCACGGCTTCCCACTAGAACCTCAGGTAACTGCCTACCTGAATATGTGCAGTCGCTAGTGAGCATCAGACCAATTTTCAAGTATTGTTTTTCTTTAGGGAATTTTATTTTATTGGCTGGAGGATTTCATCATGGATCGAGTCCCAGTGGCTTAGTGGTCTACGCGCTCGCTGGCCTTGTAACCAGAAGGTCCTTGGTTTGAACCCAGTAGTGTGGGTGCGTACTGACGAAGAGTTCTAAACTGGGATGAAACAGCTGGCTGTTCAGTACTCCCACATTTTATTTTTATTTTGCGTTTGAAAACTGTTAAGACGCGTCAGTGTAAGTATGTCGAATGTCGAGTATACAAAATGCTCCTCTCATACTTACGAAATACTTCATCAGTAAGACGAAATCTACTCATCTCTCATTTAGAGCTAGGCCACTTTGACCGCCTTAATCTCCTAATCGATCTCTGACTTCATGGCTAGGGAATACGGCTTCGAACCTCAAATGGAATATCAATCAGAGTCCTTCATGCTTGCGGATACGCCTTCTTGATGACTGCCAGCAAATATGAGACCTGGATGAGGCGAGGGATTCCTGCTGATTGCCTCTCCAACTCGTCTAATATCAATTTTCTAACTGTACTGTGTTAATTACACTACTAGAATAGGTTAAGCATTAATAGCAAAATTGTTTTTGTATACACACAGGTGAGGAGGGGGGTTAAATTTACGCATAGGTATATCACCTCAGTGTGTTTCAATGACTTTATCTTCTTTCAATATGATACATTCTACATAATTTTGTTTAAATTTGTTTCATATCTCTGCGGGTTTCTCATTGTGCGTTGGTGGCACAGCGGGAGGATGTTCGCCAACCACGCATGTGGTCTGGGGTTTGATCCCCGGTCGATGAGGCACTCCTTTACCTCGTTAAAGTCAGTAATGAGACTGGTAAAGAGGGAAAGTTGGGCATGAGTTGTCACAAACAATTGTTAAAAAGGAGTTCCGTAATATTATGAATAGTTTGATGATTGAGTTGTACTCAGGATAAACATAGGAACAAAGTAGAGAATACGAAATTAAGTAAGAGTTCTAAATGAATACAAGAATTATAAGTAATTAAAGAAACGGGCAAACAATCGAAATGAAGTCATCAAAAATCAACAAAGTTGTTACCACGATAATAGAAGTGGTTGAGTAATTCTCTTCTGTATGCACAACTCTGGTTTTTCTATATGAATGGCCAGAGCTTCAACAATACAAAGAAGTCGAAACCATATTGCCTTTGGTAAGTTATTCTTGCCTGTGTAGATTACGCCTCCTTCAAAGCTCTGTCCATTCACATAGAAAAACGGGAGCTGTGCATACAAAAGAGGATTACTCAACCACTTCTACTGTCATGGTAACAATTTTGTTGATTTTCGATGACTTAATTTTGTTTGTTTGCCCGTTTCTTTAATTACTTATAATTCTTGTATTCATTTAGAATTCTTACGTAATTTCGTATTCTCTACTTTGAATAGAACTCAATCACCAAACTATTCATATAATCACATAACTTCCTTTTAACAACTGTTGGTGACAACTCATCACCTTTGTTACTACCCTAATTTCATTAACACCCAATTTTCTTGACTGATTACGTAACTCCACCCAAAACTTACTAATTCTCACCTGTTTGACAAACTTAATGTACACATACATACAATACATATATATATATTTGCGATTGTACAGCTAAGAATTCACTGAAGAGAGACTCCTCTGAACTACGTGTATTGTTTTCATTAATGCCTGGATGGGGATTATTCATGAATGCCATATGTAATTTGGTGAATGGTGACTAGAGTGAATTTCTTCTCATTTTGTACTCGTCACCTTTGATATGTCTGTATACCTCAGTGAGTTGATGGCTTTCCTCCTGAAACTCGAACGCAGTACCAGTCGCCTTAAACTCCAAAGCGTTATCCACCAGACTACTTGGGCCACGAGAGCCAATAGGAAAATCAAAATTGAATTGTGAATTTGGATTATGAGGCGAGAAGGTTACATTTCAGCCATCGTGACACAGTTCAATAGCTCATGAATTCTGGGGATCCTCAAAGTACCGATTTATCGACCGTAGAAGTGAAAAAACATGACCACGTTCCCGATTACAAAATCATCACTGAATTATAGTGGTGGTTGGAGAGAGTCAACAGGAACTCCTGGATATTTAGTTATAAATGAAAGCTCACCACGATGATGAGCCTCCTATCTGGGTGTCTCTACATTGCAGACTAGACAGTCAGCACAAAGACTGAAGGCTGGACGAGATAACAGTAGATACACCTCAAATGACCAGTCAGTCTATACATTTGATCTTTATACCATATTGTCTGAACACTATATATTTCTTTTAATAGGTGTATATTGAGAGACGTAGTTGTCTTTTCCACTTCGTACAATAAATAGTTAATTGATCTTTTCGGGGACCAAACAAAAATTCTCCCTGTTACTCAAAATCCTTTAGTAGGATAAACATTATCTGTTCTACCTTTTGGCTCTTTGTTTATTGATCATTTTTAGGCTAATTTAGTACCATTATCGAAGGTATTCTATGATCCTATTGAATTCGAGTCTATGATCTATATACACGTGCTGAAAGTGGTAAGTTTTCTTTCATTTTCACCTAATTCACCATTATTATTGCTATTAATTATTACGGATTCTAGGGCCCGTTTACACAATTGGTTTGGATTAAACAGGTTCCCCTAGGTAGAGGAGCTACCTGTATGTTCACCAGTCGGGTAGTAAGCGACAGACGTTCGGACTCACCCCTTCACTTTTATGTGAGGAACACTCCCACCAAATGAAGTCAGTGATGAATAGGAGTTACGTCGCAGGAAGCTACGAAGGCATGTGGCCGAAGTTTATCCAACCTCAGCGATACGAGATCCTTTACGGGGGGGGGACAATTAGCTATACGGTATTTTGTGGAGGGTAATAATACTACTCGACTGTTCGAACTTTGTTAAAGTATAATGCGGTTCGAACCCTTGATCTTGTGAATGGCTACTGAGCAACGCCCTAGACTAGTGAGGAATAGCTCCATCGCTATGAAATGTAAAGGAAATTAAATGACATTCATTTAGAGAATAGTGAAAAAAATGGTTAGTTTTGATATAACTAGTCTTTACACTAATATACTAATCAAAATGGCCTTAGAAGCGATTAAAAGAGAACCAACTTCTTAGTCATAGGACAAAGCTGCCCATTGAGAAAATTATTTTAGGAATTCAATTATGCCTCACATCTACTAACTTTAAATTTCAGGGAAAATGTATAAACAGAGAGAAGGTGTAGCAATGGAATCACCACCAATATCCCCTATGGTAGCAGACACCTTTATGGATAGCTGGTAGGAAAAACATTGCTCCTAATGCGTCTAATCCTACTCCAAATATATGGTGAAGATATGTGGATGACACTTTCACAGTGTTAAAAACAGAACATATCTCTCTCTAGCTTCTTGACACATATAAACTCACTAGTAAAGGGAATAAAAGTTACATTAGAGTCGGAAAATGAACAAGGAGAATTAGCTGTGATGTTAGATTGTAAAGTAAAACGAACAGAAGAAGGTAAACTTCATACTAGCGTTTACAAAAAGCCAACGCATTCTGCTAATAGATATTTAGACTTTAATTCATCTCATTCGTTCGTTATCTGTCTGTGAAGGCAGGCTTATTTAAGTGTCTAACAAACCGAGCAATAGCACTAAGTAGTACAACAAAAAGCCTAAACGATGAAATGAAACAGATAGAAGAGGCGTTGGTGTTAAATAACTATCCTATAAAGTTCATTAGGAATATCAAAAAAGGTCACAAGCAAAATAAAAATAATGGTGAAACTAATAATTATAACATAAATAAGAGAGAATATAAGGCATCTACAGTAGTTTTATCATATAAGGAGGGGACATCTTAGAATCTGCGTAGGATTTAGTGCGTCGGTGGTATAGCGGTTAGAACGCTCGCCGACCATACACATGGTCCGGGGTTCGATCCCCGGCCGACACACTCCTTTACCTCGCTAAGCTAGAAATAATGCTGGTAAAGAGGAAAGGTTGGGCATGAGGCTAGCAACCCCATCCTGTAAAATAATCACTGCTACTGAAACTTCAAGCCACTAGCTTGAAGCCCTATGTTCCACTGGGAACGTGAAGGAAAAAAAAGGATTTTTAATAAAGCAGGAACTAGTGTGGTATTCAAACCTACAAACTCACTCAGATAGGACAAGCTCTGTAGGTTAAAGGACCCTGTCGGTGGACTTAATTAGACAAAATAATATAATTTACAAAATACCCTGCAATGACTGTGAGTTAGGTCAACTACACAGGCCAGTCAAACTAGTAGGTCAGGGGTAGTCAGATTGTCGGAACATGAGAATTTAACTAAGGTAAGAATGGTTGACCCCGAGAAGATAAGTAATTTAGATAAAAACTCAACACTACATTGCACTGCATGCTTTAAAACACAACCACATAACAGGGTGGAGGAGGGTTAACATTCTAAGAAGTGATATAGGTGGATGGAGAGAGGTGTTGATTACTGAATCCTTGTTCATCGAGTCTACACCCAACAAATTCAATAGAATTGACTCAATGCAAATACCAGAGATATGGAAGGTATTATTACCGCCAGTCAGTCAAATCGGAGGAGGATAATAAATAATCTTAAAATTCTATTTCAATTCACGTACATCATAACATTTTAACAAGTTACTTATTTTGACTATAAAAACACTCGTCTTATTTCCCATCTGATTGTAATTGATCAATAACACTCGTATTATTATTTCTGAATGTACATTATCTTACAGTGATTTTATTCAAATGTCTAATCACCAATTTTTACTCATGTATATAAATGAATCAAGAAAGTTGTGTGAGTAGTGCCTTGATATGATGATTATGAGCAGTAGTAATAAATTGTGCTCGATAGGTGGTCATCAGTAAGGAATATTACTGTATACCAACACTGTGTGATTTTATCAAAATAAAATCTTTTCCATATTGCAGCTCCATCGCTACTCTCACACTCTCATATTGTTATCATATTTTGATTAACCTCCTTACACTTACTTTCAGTCACTTAATGGGATTATTTTTCCTTTTCGTGTGATTATCTTATAATTTATTATTTAGTCCTACAACCAAATGTGTTAGAAAAAGCCACGGAGGAGAATTTTGTTAAAGCTCAATCGATTGTTTCTAACTGGTATGTTGTGTTTATTTATTATTGATGTTGTTGTTGTTGTTGATGATGATCTTTGCATTTGCTGTTTTCATCTTAAATCGGGTGGTTTTTTATTATAGCTTGAAACCACACAGTATTTTGGTACAAGTATGGAATTTTCAGCATATGATATCGGTAGCCCAAATTTAGCAGGCTGACCATAGATATGAGGTGTGCGTCGGCAGGGGATCGAACCCCGAACCATGTGCATGGTCGGCGAGAGTCCTAACCGCTGTGCTACCGACGCACTGACTTGTCTCTCCCTGAGCCGAGTCAAACTGGGTACATGGCTGATGTACTCCGACTGACTGACTGGCTGCTTTCAACGTAGAACTTTTATCCAGAGATTTGCAGCACTCCCAGTTGCCTGACTCCCACCATGTAGCACACAAAGCAAGAGAAGAAATTAGGTAAAGAGAGATTCGTCAAAATAGAGAGAGATAATAAACAGAAGTGTGAGTGAGGGAAAAAGAATAGTAATGTGGAAGAAAAATACCATTTTATTGGATATTATAAGTTACAAAGAGTAGTGAATGTATATGCGCGCCAGCCATCACTGAGAACGATGAGTTTGAGCCAGCCATATCACCAATTGTCTCCAGCCTTCATTGGTTTGTATCAACCCAAGGACCCCAGCCAGGAAGTCTACACCTTCCTACGCGGCTGACTGGCTTAAACTAACTGTTGTGAATTTCATTGACTGACGAAGCCATGTTTTGGTGTGACTACCGCTGGCTCTTTTTAAACCTGACCCTATGTCAGTTAACATAGCCCATTGTCGAGGAAGGCGATGACTAGGCATACGTAACACATGTCCTAACCATCCCTCTTAATCGGCCTAATTTCACAGTTTCGTTGATAGATTTCCCCTCCAACTCACCTAGCATTCGATCGAAGCCTGACCTCAATATTGCTCACCTTATTATACAACTTCACACGGGAGATGGAACGCAGACACCTATGATCAAAGACAGCTAACCGGCCTTTTCATGTCCTCCACTCTCAATGGCCTTGTCTCGCTAACAGCCATAAAGGAGGACAGAGCGGACTGCTGCAGTGCAGTGAACACGTCCTTTGATCAACAGTTAGCTGGATGTAACGTGTATTGAACCAGAGATGGTGAAAGCCGATGAACTCAGCCCCAAACGAGCAAAACAGTTGGTTAATCGGTGTTCAGATCATTTCGGTGATCTGACTAGCAAACAATACACTGGTTAATGTGAGTGGTATTCAGCTACTCATCCCAGTCAGACAGTCATTAGTATTGTAGCGACAGAAGACAAGGGCCAGGCAACAGATCGTTTATTGGTATTAGATGGTTGGAGGCAATCGGCAGGAAGCCTTGGACCTAGGTTTCGTGCTAGTTGGCACTCATCAGCAAGGCGTATCTGCAACCTTGAAGGAACTGATGTCCCTTCTGAGATTCGAACCCGCGTCACCCAGTGCTGCAGTCAGAGACGTTACCACTGAGCTATTCAGGCTCGCGACTGACCTCCTGTAGGACTGTATTGGATATTTTTGATTGCACACTAGTCAGTCACTAGTGTAATGCGTCTAGTCCTATCTTCGGTGCAGACTGAATTCTATCAGTCATGTTTGCAATGTGGCCACCATGCTAGGTGGCTCGCCATTACGGTGCACTGTGAATTGTTGGTATTAGATGGTTGGAGGCAATCGGCAGGAAGCCTTGGACCTAGGTTTCGTGCTAGTTGGCACTCATCAGCAAGGCGTATCTGCAACCTTGAAGGAACTGATGTCCCTTCTGAGATTCGAACCCGCGTCACCCAGTGCTGCAGTCAGAGACGTTACCACTGAGCTATTCAGGCTCGCGACTGACCTCCTGTAGGACTGTATTGGATATTTTTGATTGCACACTAGTCAGTCACTAGTGTAATGCGTCTAGTCCTATCTTCGGTGCAGACTGAATTCTATCAGTCATGTTTGCAATGTGGCCACCATGCTAGGTGGCTCGCCATTACGGTGCACTGTGAATTGTTGGTATTAGATGGTTGGAGGCAATCGGCAGGAAGCCTTGGACCTAGGTTTCGTGCTAGTTGGCACTCATCAGCAAGGCGTATCTGCAACCTTGAAGGAACTGATGTCCCTTCTGAGATTCGAACCCGCGTCACCCAGTGCTGCAGTCAGAGACGTTACCACTGAGCTATTCAGGCTCGCGACTGACCTCCTGTAGGACTGTATTGGATATTTTTGATTGCACACTAGTCAGTCACTAGTGTAATGCGTCTAGTCCTATCTTCGGTGCAGACTGAATTCTATCAGTCATGTTTGCAATGTGGCCACCATGCTAGGTGGCTCGCCATTACGGTGCACTGTGAATTGTTGGTATAAGATGGTTGGAGGCAATCGGCAGGAAGCCTTGGACCTAGGTTTCGTGCTAGTTGGCACTCATCAGCAAGGCGTATCTGCAACCTTGAAGGAACTGATGTCCCTTCTGAGATTCGAACCCGCGTCACCCAGTGCTGCAGTCAGAGACGTTACCACTGAGCTATTCAGGCTCGCGACTGACCTCCTGTAGGACTGTATTGGATATTTTTGATTGCACACTAGTCAGTCACTAGTGTAATGCGTCTAGTCCTATCTTCGGTGCAGACTGAATTCTATCAGTCATGTTTGCAATGTGGCCACCATGCTAGGTGGCTCGCCATTACGGTGCACTGTGAATTGTTGGTATTAGATGGTTGGAGGCAATCGGCAGGAAGCCTTGGACCTAGGTTTCGTGCTAGTTGGCACTCATCAGCAAGGCGTATCTGCAACCTTGAAGGAACTGATGTCCCTTCTGAGATTCGAACCCGCGTCACCCAGTGCTGCAGTCAGAGACGTTACCACTGAGCTATTCAGGCTCGCGACTGACCTCCTGTAGGACTGTATTGGATATTTTTGATTGCACACTAGTCAGTCACTAGTGTAATGCGTCTAGTCCTATCTTCGGTGCAGACTGAATTCTATCAGTCATGTTTGCAATGTGGCCACCATGCTAGGTGGCTCGCCATTACGGTGCACTGTGAATTGTTGGTATTAGATGGTTGGAGGCAATCGGCAGGAAGCCTTGGACCTAGGTTTCGTGCTAGTTGGCACTCATCAGCAAGGCGTATCTGCAACCTTGAAGGAACTGATGTCCCTTCTGAGATTCGAACCCGCGTCACCCAGTGCTGCAGTCAGAGACGTTACCACTGAGCTATTCAGGCTCGCGACTGACCTCCTGTAGGACTGTATTGGATATTTTTGATTGCACACTAGTCAGTCACTAGTGTAATGCGTCTAGTCCTATCTTCGGTGCAGACTGAATTCTATCAGTCATGTTTGCAATGTGGCCACCATGCTAGGTGGCTCGCCATTACGGTGCACTGTGAATTGTTGGTATTAGATGGTTGGAGGCAATCGGCAGGAAGCCTTGGACCTAGGTTTCGTGCTAGTTGGCACTCATCAGCAAGGCGTATCTGCAACCTTGAAGGAACTGATGTCCCTTCTGAGATTCGAACCCGCGTCACCCAGTGCTGCAGTCAGAGACGTTACCACTGAGCTATTCAGGCTCGCGACTGACCTCCTGTAGGACTGTATTGGATATTTTTGATTGCACACTAGTCAGTCACTAGTGTAATGCGTCTAGTCCTATCTTCGGTGCAGACTGAATTCTATCAGTCATGTTTGCAATGTGGCCACCATGCTAGGTGGCTCGCCATTACGGTGCACTGTGAATTGTTGGTATTAGATGGTTGGAGGCAATCGGCAGGAAGCCTTGGACCTAGGTTTCGTGCTAGTTGGCACTCATCAGCAAGGCGTATCTGCAACCTTGAAGGAACTGATGTCCCTTCTGAGATTCGAACCCGCGTCACCCAGTGCTGCAGTCAGAGACGTTACCACTGAGCTATTCAGGCTCGCGACTGACCTCCTGTAGGACTGTATTGGATATTTTTGATTGCACACTAGTCAGTCACTAGTGTAATGCGTCTAGTCCTATCTTCGGTGCAGACTGAATTCTATCAGTCATGTTTGCAATGTGGCCACCATGCTAGGTGGCTCGCCATTACGGTGCACTGTGAATTGTTGGTATTAGATGGTTGGAGGCAATCGGCAGGAAGCCTTGGACCTAGGTTTCAGAAGGGACATCAGTTCCTTCAAGGTTGCAGATACGCCTTGCTGATGAGTGCCAACTAGCACGAAACCTAGGTCCAAGGCTTCCTGCCGATTGCCTCCAACCATCTAATACCAACAATTCACAGTGCACCGTAATGGCGAGCCACCTAGCATGGTGGCCACATTGCAAACATGACTGATAGAATTCAGTCTGCACCGAAGATAGGACTAGACGCATTACACTAGTGACTGACTAGTGTGCAATCAAAAACAGATCGTTTATTTAGAAAATTAAGAGATATTTATGGATTTTTGTGTACATCATTATTCGTTATTGTTAGCAGAGAAACAGCGTCTTCTGATTGGTTGTTTTCTCGCTGAAAGTTAATCTGTCATCTCTTCGTGGCCGTTTCTTTGAAGGTCAGACCATATATCTGCGAATCGTATCCGCCCACGCAGTCTGCTGTGATTGGTTTTTGAGTTATTCTTCGTTCTTGTTTTTTTTAATCATGACCAAGATTTGGGACGTAAACATTGACGTAAATTACTGTCTACCAATTTTTGGCTAGCAAACAGCTCTCACCACAGTTTACATGTTGTGTTCACCTTTAGTTACGTAATAGCCAACTGTCTAATTTCCCCTCATTCAATGTTTAGCAATGCCTTTAGGCATTGTCAGAACTCAACTATCGGTAATCTAATTTTATACATGTTCTGAGGATACTGTAAGCCACACTTATAGTATTAGGGGTGATGTCACTGCCCATTTACCCAGGCTGAAGTTGGCGAAGTAGAATGCCAACATGAGATCCACTAATTTTGATTGATAGTCAAGTGTTTAGGTCAGTGACCCACATCTCCCCACATAGAGCCGAACCACATGCTTGATTGTCGAGCATTCTACTGCTCAAACACCAAAAATTCATCGGCTAACACTGCTCAGTGTGAAAGTAGATTGCGTGTTTCGTTTCTCTGAACTTTTTTTTATTGATTCTTTTGTGAATGAATTTCGGAAAGTATCCATTTTTGGGAGGAAATTTCTTTCAGAAAGTGTGGTTTTACTTCTCCTAGAACGTCAGAGGTACAGATATGTCGAATGCTAGTGGCTAGGAATTTAATTCCAACTCATTCATGGAATTATTTACCTTTTTACGTAATTCTAATCTGTCTGTCTGGATTCAACATAGAACGTGGCACTGAAGTGCAGCAGTTCCAGTTGCCACGTTCCAAATGGCACACAAAGGTAGACAAGAAGATGAGTGATGAAGAGAATCAATAGAGTTTTGACAAGTATAAGAGTGAAACAGAATGATGAGTAATGGTAGAAAGGAATATGAAAGAATACAGAGACTGAATACATCTGCGTAAGCCATTGACAACGATTTTGAGCCATGTCACCTATTGTTTCCAGTCATTGATTCTTAGAGTCCCGGGGGCGGGCCCCAACCCGGATGTCTGCATCTCCCTACCTGACTCAGTTTAACTGTTAAGGATTTCATGGATTGGTGCCATTTTTTTGTTTGGCCACCACTTACTCTTTTCCAACCTGCACCTATATCAGCTAGTAATGTCCGTCCGTCGGGGGAGGCGATGGTTAGGCATGCGCAGCACGTGGCCTAGCCATCTCAATCTATGTAACTTTATAGCCTCTTCGATTGATTTTCCCTCTTTGCCCAACAGTCTACGCCTAACGTCAACATTACTTACCTTATTATGCCACCTCCTAACGTGAGAAAGAGATCGTAGACATCTATGTTCAAAAACTGGCAACCTTTTCATGTCTTCAACTCGTATTGGCCATGTTTCAGAGCCAGCCATAGAGAAGGACGGAGCGAACTGCTGAGCAGTAAACACGTCCCTTGATTGAAAGCCGGATGTCACGCCTACGCCCGCCAGAGATGGTGTAAGTTAGCGAAAGCAGCTCAACCTTTTTGGATCTGTGCTGAGAACGTAATGCTAATACCCTTATTCAACACGTCTTATGCATTGATTCATATTATAAACTATCATTGTAATAACTCATTTGCTCTCTTTCATGAGAAAATGTTGTATATGGCTAGAGAGGGAAATGAGAATCCTTCGCCGTAGAGGGAATTGTTTATTACTGTCTTGTATTTCGCCGTCCTTCATATATACTTATATATGCTTACTTATTATTCTCTTGTGTGTTATTGTATAGGATGAAAAATTTACAATCATCTAATTCAAGACAAAGTAACTCTTCGACGGAACATGAATCTAGCCAGCGGAGACAACAATCTCAACCGACTACCTCTGAGTCTGAAAAGGGCAGTCTACCGAAATGGTTAAAATTAGGTAATGCATTCTTTAACGACGCCCTACTCCCCACCCCACCCCATCTCCCTTCTAGAAAATTCCTTTGTGAAGTTGTTCTTTTATTCATATTAGTTTGTTTATTAGATATATCACTCACAGTGAGTGAAACAGTATTATTATTTACTGGATGACACAGTTTCCAATTTAATTCATTATTGTTCATAATCATTTCATCAATTATAATCACACGACTTCGAAACTTGAGTTTTATAGGTTTCTTTGTCCTCTTCTATTTGTCGTCGTCGTTGGGGTAGTAGAATTTTTCAGATATCTGAGACAGGTGTTGAATCATTCCTATTACACGTGTTGGTTTGGAACACATCAACTCAAAAGTGGAGGCGATTCTTTTCACTTATGAATTGGAAAGTCAGGAAGGGGAGCTTCCAGTGTTAGATTGCAGCGTATAAAGGAAAGAAGACGGGTGATTAAACACTAGTGTTTACAGGAAACTCACACATTCAAACAGATATTTGGACTTTCGATCATCCCATCCTATGTCAGTGAGAATAGGATTGGTGAAATTTTTAAGTAATAGGGTACAAAAACTAAGCAGTACCAAGGAAAATCTAAGACAGGAAGTGAAGCATATAAGAGAATCTTTGAAACTCAATAATTACCCTGATAAATTAATCAAGATTTATGTAGGAAATTGTAAAAATGAAATAAATCATAATAGTAGTGATAGTGATAATAATAGTAGTAATAATAATGACGACATGCATGTCAAACATGCGCAGAATAATGATAACACCAACAATAAGGAATCTAAATCATCAGTAGTACTTCCATACAAAGAAGGAACCTCGGAAACCTTACGGAGAATTCTTAACAAACAGGCAGAAATAAAAGTGACTGGCATTCAAACCACCCACAAACTCAATTAGAATCAAGCTTTGTCGGTTAAATTGTGGATCCTGTGGAGCCAATAAAACAAAACAATTTGGTTTATCTAATACCCTGCTGGAATGATTGTCAGGTCGAATACATAAGTCAAATTAGTAGAACAGATGCGGTCAGACTAGCGAAGCACAAAAGCCTAGCAAAATCTAGATTAGTTGACCCTGATAAGATAGGAAATCTAGGGAGTAGTTCAGCTATGCCACTCACTACATGCAATCACACACAACCATACAATGGGCTGGATGGGATAGGATGACAGTCTTAAAATCTAAAGTCACAGGGTGGAGGGAGAGATTGATTGATAACAGAAGCTTTGTTTATCGAATCAACTACGGACCAATACGTGTAATAGGAAGGATTCAACAGCTATCCATTCGGACATCTGGAAAATTCTACTACTCCAACGACGACAAATAGGAGAGAACGAATAAAACTATGAAACTGAAGATTCGAAGTTGTTTGATTATAATTGATGAAATGATTATGAACATTAAGAAATTGTGTTCGAAATTGTGTCATCCAGTAAATAATAATACTGTTTCACTCGCTGTGTGTGATACATCTAATAAACAAACTAATATGGAATTACTTACTACCACAGCGCCCAAGTTTTACACATACATTGTTTTTTTATCTTCCATTCTTGTGATAACGTCTCAGTACACTGATCAGTGTGTGTGTAAATACTGACTTCTGAAAGCATTTGATATAATTATGTATTTGGAGAAACTCTGATGCGCCTTTCATAACAGGTAGGAAATTCATATGAACTGTGATCAAGATTTGACCGGATAGTTGCAAAATAATTGAGCGCTGAGTGAGAAATAGACATTTATAAAATTATATTTGTAAAATCTCAGCGAAATTGAAATGATTAATCCCAACGTTTCGTTCGGCAATCTGGTCCGAACTTCTTCAGGGACCAGATTGCCGAACGAAACGTTGGAATTAATCATTTCAATTTCGCTGAGATTTTACAAATATAATTTTATAAAGGTAGGAAATTCCTTAGCGTTTAAAACAAGAAGTGGAGGGTTGGGGGTCTCATTAGGAACACTATCTACGCATCCATCACTCACTCATATGCAGACACATCTATCTGACGAGCACAAAAAATAGGACGAAATGCACTTCTTGGATTGCACAGCTAGTTACCGGTAACCAAAATAAGGCAAAGTTAAACTTGAAGCACCAGCAACTAAAAATTAGCGAATGACCTTGAACTCACTAATCACGTGGAAGAGGCACTTTTGGGTATAGAATACATACATTTGTGGGGGGAAAATGCATAAAAACTGTATAAAAGTGTTACAGAGGATACCTTTCTCTCATATGTGATAAAAACATCTCCCCGTTTAGCATAGGGGTATTGATAGAAAAGTTACATCACATCCCATACATATATTCATCAAAATGACCATTATTAACATCTTTTTGTGGTTCATTAATGGTTCTAATCCGTTTTTTTTTAACCTTTTCCAAAAACCTTCGATAAAAGTTGTGTGGGTCCCTGTAATAGGATCCACAAAATCACTAGAATGGTTGACTTTGTGGTGAATATATCCAAGGAATGACAAGGAGTTATAACCTTTCCACCCATCTGTTTGTATTATGTATCCTTGTTTCACCGGTTGAGTGATACTTGGTATTAAAGTAGTTGACTTTCTACTTGCTATTCTCTCGACGAATGCTTTCTGTAGAGAGGTATCATATAAACCAATCACCCAAATATTATTCTTTAATAAAACAGTTTCATCCACATGTATGACGATAAGACACATACGCCTTGCTGACTGGTGAGTTCCAACTAGCACGAAACCTAGGACAAGCAGGGCTCCCTGCTGATTGCCTCCAACCATCTAATATCAACAATTCACAGTGCACCGCGATGACGAGCCACCTAGCGGCATGTTGGATACATTGCAAACATGACTGAAAGAATTCAGTTTGCACCAAATAGAGGACTAGGCACACTATACTAGTCACTAAATAGTGTACAATCAAAAGTATCCAATACATTAGTCCTACAGGAGTTCAATCGCTAGCCCAAATAGCTCAGTGGTGGTAACATCTCTGGCTGCAGGTAGCACTGGGTGATGCGGGTTCAAGTATCAGAAGGGACATGAGTTCCTTCAATGTGGTTGCAGATGCGCCTTGCTAATTGATGAATGCCAACTAACACGAAACCTATGTGGTGTCCAAGGCTTCTTGTCGATTGCCTCCAACCATCCTACTTGTCCGTAGATTTTTTTCTCATTATATATTTACCTTAATAAAAAATAAATTGTAATTTGTCTACATGTCCATGTGTGTTTGTAATGTTCGTTCCTCTCATGCTTTTGTAGGAAAATGAACCGTGAATCTTTCAATAAAAAGGAAATAAAACTGCCAAACGAAAGAACCAGGGATACAATCACATTTATTTTAAATACATATATATATATATATTTGTGTGTGCTGTTTTTGTGTTGTTATTTTAACATTGATAACAGGTTGAGAACGTGTTTGTACACTGCTTGTCTACCTTCTTGTCTGTTTTTCTGCGTGCTTGCTTTGTTCATTCTCCATTTTTGTTGTATTCAAGAGATGAATGCTGCTTTGGAATAAAAGTAACGCTCTTATTCACTACTATATGTGTAGTGATATATGCCACGTGGAATAGTTAGTTATATGAGCCAACAGTGTCTTGTGGTAGCAGCCACCAACTTATGATAATCTAAACACACTGGTCAGTTGTTCTGCATGTCTTTGTAGTTGGGGCCATCCTCATCATGAGTGTACGCGGATGATTTGACTCAGATAAAAGTTTTTGAAAGCAGTTGAATTCAGAATAGCTACTCACACTCATGATTATATATATATCCAAATTCCCATTTACTCATTTAGAAATAACCTATTGATTGAGCGAAAAAATATGTATTCCTTTTTAAGTAGTTCCTCATCATCCACTGGCTCTACACTAACATATAGTTGGAGGATTTCATCATGAGCTGACATCGGTTAGAGAATCATTGGAAGAATCACCAGGGAGTACTGGACAGCTGTTTCGTCCTAATTTGGGACTCTTCATCAGTATGCACCCACCGTCTCAATTTATTCCTCATCATCGGCTATACACTACTGATAAATAGCTTTTCACATCAAAATCTTTTTACCAATCAAGTGGTTATTTTAGTTAAACAGCTTTAGGTATAGGAGGTAGGTGTGAAATTAAGAGGTTAAAGGTCATCAAAACAATTAACTCATATGTGTTAGTAACCACATAACTAAGTTTTGAAGGAGGAGTGAAAATTAATTAATTGCGGAATTCAAGATAAGTTGATTCTTAGACGTTAGCAACAAGTTATTACATAATCAAGAGATTTGCCAAATAGCAATGATGACTAAGAAGAATAGGATGACTCATAAGAATTACGTAAAATACAAACAAGTTAATAAGAATTAGCTAGAATTGTAAAAATCAACAAAGTCAAAAGATTTATTCGAATTTAATCGATTTTCCCGTCGATTGATTGAACCGAAGTGCTCGGTCTCAGGTTGACATGTCGGCTTCTTGTGTAGATGTTTCGACGATGTCTGGGCATGTAATTAGAATTGAATGGATTTTGTTTGTCCTATACTTAACCATGCAAGATAATCCGACGAGAAACACGCATAATGGTACGGCCTATGTAACTGGCTCCACAAGAGCAGGCGAAATTATACAGTTCATCTTTTACTCCCGAACGCAAAATAGGGGTGGTTTTGAAGACACAGCGTAATTCAGCAACAGGGAATGCCCTTCTTACCGCATTCCTAAGGTGTTGTGTTATTATCTCGCTGATGTTATCTCCAAGGAACTGAATTTGTAAGAATAAGACCTTTTTAGGAACTGTTCGTACCTTGGGTTGCCTTGATTTTAGATTCATATTCTTATCAATAAAGGTTTCTGGATAACCGTTTGATAACATCAGCACAACAATACACTGAATGTCAGAAAAATTAGGAGAGATAATAATACAAATTCATGAATTCATAGTCTCTACTGAAGGCCTGCCAGGGCAGTAATAGTGCTGGCTGAACTTTCTTCTTCTGCACATAAGGTGCCGGTTGTTTCAGGGGGATCACGATGGACTCTGCTGTTTGGAGTATGCGGCACCTGGGTGTTTTTGGCAATTTACTTGGTACCCAATAGATGATAGAGAAGGATTCTTCAATGCTGGTTGGCTCTGTGGCCAGCCGGTTTGGACCAGATGGTCTAATATCGAACTGTTATTGATGTCTTTTACTACACCTTTACTCAGCCATAACGGGAGATTTTCTAGAGCACGGCTCATATAACTCGCTCCAGTGAAAGCAGTGCAGTTGAATTGGTAGATAGTAACTGCTACTTAGTGTTGGTGATTGGCTGTCTGCATCACCTTTGTTTTCTACAATGTTAACTTGAAGCTGTGCCCTCACTGCCTGCCTCTTCTGCCATTTTGTTAGTTTTCATACCTGTAAGTTTTCGAGTTTGTGTCAAATTCGATATAAATTATTCACGTGCGAAATTCAGATCTTCCAGAGTCTTTTGGTTGGTTCTTCTCTCTCTTTCTCCACACTCAATGTCTTCTGCATAATTTTCTCCGTCACAATTTTAGAATAAGGGGGGATAATAATCAATACTACTCAGATAGGGATTACCAGTGTTGGTTAAGAGGCTGGCGACTTGATTTTGTGATCACGTCAGCCTATTTCATTTGGCATCCTTGAAAGTTGTTTTTAATATTCATCTTGTGATTCACATCTTTGAGGTATTTCGCTATAGATGAAGTCGGTAGGTCTGCCACCTGCGTTTATACAGATTTCACGCGCAAAGCGCGATTGATCCGACTATGTGTGTGTGACGAAACACACACAGATTGGGTGGGATGTAGTATGCGATGGGATGTAATCGACTATCGTATCAAGAATATTATGTCTGTAATACTCAATGACTAAATGCACATATTATCCCGAGTAGATTCTGTCATACATTAGATTACTTGCTGATTCTGAAAAGCACTAGGCAGCTGTTTCGTTCTAGTTTGAGGCTTTTCAACAGTTGCTGAAGTCAGGAAAGAATAAAAAGCCCAGCAAAGGTATAGTTTTGAGGATTTCATCCTCAAAAGTAGTTGTACAATCTCAGCTTTGTGCATACTTTTACATGCCAGATGATTGGAGGCAATCGGCAGGAAGCTAAGCCAGCTGACCTAGGTTTCGTGCTGGTTGACACACTCACTAGTCTGTCAGCTAGGCTTATCTGCAACCACCTTGAAGCAAATCGTGTCCCTTCTGAAACTAGAACCCGCGTCACCCCGGTGCTACTTGCATTCACAGACGTTACCACCACTGAGGTATTCGGACTCGCAATTTACCTCCTGTAGGACTGTATCGGATATCTTTTTGATTGGACACTAGTCAATGACTAGTTTAGTGTGTCTAATCCTATCTTTGGTGCAGACTGAATTAGATCAATTCAGTCAAAGTATCGAATAAAGTACTACAGTAGGTCAATTGTGAGCCCCAATAGCTCAATGGTAACATCTCTGACTACAGGTCGCACTGGGTGACGTGGGTTAGAATCTCAGAAGGGATACGAGTTCCTCCAAGGTGGTTGCGGATATGCCTTGCTAAGTGAATGGTGATTGCCAACAAGCATGAAGCTTAGGACAAGCAGGACTTCCTGTTGATTGCTTCCAACCGTGATGGCGAGCCACCTAGCATGGTGGCCATATTGCAAACTTGACTGAGTGAATTCAGCCTGCACAAAAAAATGGACTGCACACACTGCACTAGTTGCTGAATAATTTTGCATAGTTACAATAATTAATTTTAATTTATCATGGTGATGAAGGGCAGAGCAAAGGAGATAATGGTGTTTTCTGGACTTGATATGGAGATTTGAAGGTGGGATGAGGGATGAACATAGACCACTAGGAATGTAAAAACAAAATTACATAGGATTATAAAAGTAGTTGCGTAATATGTGGAGTAGGTGTCAGTGGGATGTGCATAGGAACCAAGTGAAGTGAGTTTTTATAAATAACAAAGTGAAATGAAAAATTCCAAAACTAAGAAGACAGACACAACTAGAATCGTGGTAAATGTAGAAGTTTGACTGTAATTTCTTTGAAACATATATATATCTTACGATGTATATAACGAGGGCTTCAGCAGTACAAGGAAGTCGGAAACACACTGCCTTTGGCAGATTTCTGTCCACTTTGTAAATGACTCTGGATGATTTGTCTGTTTAGATGCTGGGTTAGGCATTCAAGAGGAGTTTAATTAAATCGCTTCTTACTGAATCAGTCCCACCTCTTTCAAAAGTGCAACATCAGTTTCCTGTCAAGCATGTCACTCGTCTATTAAATCAGACAGAACCGCTTTTGCTATCTGTAAACACGACCTAGTGGCACACGATTTCCTCATTAGAAGTCCGGGGAATCCTTTTCGCGGTAAGGAAAATCAAGTCGTTGAACATACGACCATTCAAATACAAATTTCTTTATGAACCTAATGTTCGAAGCCGAGTTTCTCGTGTGGTCCTAGTTTAGACAAAAGAAACTTACCATAAGTTTCAGTGATTTTAATACTAGTGAGTCGAGACCAGTTTTCCAGAAACACATGTCATTATTTATTTTTTATTTCAATACCTCTGTTATTTATATAAATATATATTTCTTTACATGTGTCCACTTTTCTCTCGGTGCCTAGTGTCTGCCGAACTACTCAATAATATCTTGATAAGAATCCGTGGTCACTTCAGTAGTAAATTTGACTTCAAAATATGTACTACTTAATAAGTTATTGAGTAGACAGATGTGTATTAGTGATAATAGTTTCAAGAGTCCCAGTGGCCTAATGGTTTGCGAGCTAGCTCGCCAGTCTTGTAACCAAAAGGTCCTGGGTTCGAACCCCGGTGGGTAGACACTGTTGAAGAGTCCCAAAGTAGGATGAAACAGTTAGCTGTCCAGTACTCCCTGGTTTTCCAGTGGTTCTCCAAGTGATGTCAGGTAATGATGAAATCCTCCAACCAATCAAACAAAAATCCCTACAAAACCAATACTGGAATATTTGATCTCCTTTAAAGATAGTATACTCTGCTAATGATAGTGGGACAATCTGAAATAACTACTCAGTTGTTTTCTATTCTTTTTTGTTTTCAGTGGAACGTAATTCTTCAAGTTTGAGGTTTGAAGTCTCTTTAGCGATGGTGTTGCTTGCTCCCCAGGGGGTGGGATTGCTAACCTCACTCACAACCCCCCTTCTTTAACGTACTCACTACCAGATAAGCGATGAAGCTTAGTAGTAGGCTGGTCGGGAGTTGAACGCTGGAGAGCATTTTACCAC